GAGAGTGAATACAACACGTCTGAAAAGAATGAGAATCCATGTGAATCAATTTGAAGTAAACGCGTCATAGACAATAGCTTTTCATGCAGTCATAATCGACTGCAGTAATGAGCGACAGAACGGTCTAGGACACTAATTTTTTTACGCCGTTGAGAAATTTCCGGACCGGTTCTCCGTTTGTCCCCGATGTTATACGCAAAAATAGTAAGTTCTTGCATCAGAAGGGAGGGGAAACGGCGGTCTGCAGGATCGTCAAAAGGGGTAATGGAGCATCCGAATGTGGGAACCACCGCTTTATCCCTTAAAATGATCACACTGGAAAAAGCTATGATCCACAATCGCTGATGTTGCTTAATAACAAAGGATTGAATTTATCAGATCGCATTTTGGACCAAAATGAGGTATAGCTCCAGAGTGAGCGTAAGCATGTTCGCTCTTATCACTCTTATGTCCATCTCCATCTATATCGCACACGAACCGTTGATATCTTGCTCTTCGTTTGTCACTTATTCATGCAATCATTCTCAATTTCTCATCGAATATCCAGTGTTTATCACGCAACAATCGTGCTCCCATCCTATCCCTCCAAATGATTTTTTGCTGCCATTGGTCAGTTGAACCAATAAAGTTCTTTGAGATGGCACAAACTGAAGTAGCAAATACGAATTGAGGTGATATTGATGTTAAATGGCAACCTGAGTAGAGATTGGAAGTGCATTCAAGCCGTTTTCTCGAAACGATTCGATCATATTCCAAATATCAACCAAATGCACTGAAATTGTTTTCAGATTATCGAATTTAGTTCCAGTGAAATATTGCTGAGTAGACATCCAGTTGATCAGGAGTGTGTCAATCGGAGTTTTATGAAGAAAGGATGCGTAAATGGTGTTATTGGATGACGATTTGAGTAGGGATATTGACGATTCGATGACGGATGATAAAATGGCACATAGTCGAACTTGAACGAATGAAAAAAATTGTTCGAAAAAAGTTTTCACAAGAACAAAAGCCTTCATTGATTTTGAACGAAATGGATGCTTTATCTCTAAGAGTGTCGTCAAAAAGCACTGAACAGCAGCTGAATGTGAAACAATTACCATTCGTTTTCTTCTGAATGAAACGCAATTTACACGCAGCTCTGTAGGTGGCAAAGCGAATCGAGTCAAAATCTTGCAGACCTGCAAAAACATTCGAATTATATCCTGCAAACAAGCTGGCTGATATCTCTGAATCGATGGTTCTCAGCCTTTTTCTCGCCCACACCCCTCAAAAAAATTCTAAAATGTCCTCACATCCACTCTATATCTCTCATCCACTACAGCAAATATCTATAGTGTAGATAAGTGTATAGCATTAGGATACTTTCAAGCCTTTTTAAAAAATGCATAAGTAAAAGTTCAGCTTTGCGCTATTTAAGGTATGAAAAATGAAATGTTTTCTCGCACCCACAAAGGGCGCAAGCATCCTCGGTTGAGAGATCTTGCTCTGGATATATTCGCTTAAACTGGTAAAAACAGCGTATTGTGCACATTACATAAGCGTCTAAGATAAGAGTGCTGCTCAGTGTAAATGTAACGAAAACTGTGGTCATCCTCATCGATGAGAAATTTCGTTCTCATTTATAAGAAATTCACAGAGATACTCCAATTCAGCGTTATTTGACTGTTAGATAAGATAAAAGTTTGCTTTCAATGAGTAGTCGCATTCCGTTGTAAATTCAATTTGTTATTGAACTCTTCAATGAAAAAGCTAATATATATTCTGGGTGATGTGACAGAACAGCCACGGAAAGCTGCTAAATTTTCAAACAACATCAAATTAGGAGCTGCCATGAAAGGTTTGAGGAAAGCTTATAATTAATATCGAGAACTGAACGAACGAATTGAATGATATTTTTATAAGTTGACTGATTCAGAACATATCTTCTTGAATTAATTGCTACTTGATTGGCTCAATTTGCTGGAATTTTTCGCAAACAATTCAAATTTTGCCCGAGAAACAGGCTGAGTTACTCACGCATCTCATCGATAAGTGCTTGAAGTTCAGCAGTTGCATCGTTCGCTGTCGATGCATCCACTTCAGATTGACTCCACATTTCGGTGTGGTCAACGCAAATCAGAAGATCACTTCAGCCAGATGAAATTTGTTGCT